TTAGTATCCAGAAACTATTTGTAATGTTTTGTTTTTCCCCCATGAATAGCGTGTATAACCCCTCTTCTACCCTATGGTTAACTCACAGAAATGGTTTCTTCAAATTTATAACATGCTTGTTTGAAGGCAATTATTCATAACGTTTTTGTTTGTACCAAAATTGGAATGCTTATGTGAAGCTAGTGTATTACTGAAAATTATTTCCATTTATACTATTGTTCAGGAACCAAGCATTTGGTATTACTTTTTGAAACTTAATGTTCTGAGAAGTTTTCCTTTATTGTGTTGCCACAAATTCTTAATTAGTATATTGGCTATTCATCATTATAAATAGATAAGATCTTAAGATTAGCCTTTTATTCCAACTATTAAAAGCCTGCCATTACTGCATGTGATTACAAGATCTGGTTCAGTTTACCTTCTGTGATGTTTTGTTTAGCCTTCTAGAGGAGAAAAAAGAAATTTCTTGCTGCACTTGAAAGTAAATTACAGGCTTTCATTTTCTGCATTGAATTAAAAGCCTGCTACATTATTTGATCTAGACAATAAAGCATATGTAGCTGAATAAAACTTTGCAAACTCTGGTAGCTTGAAAAAGTAAATTAGTTCAATGTGAAGTAGTCCAGGAATAAAATGAACAGTTATCTGACACATTTTAACAATCTCATTTCATATATAGTAGAGTAGGTTAGACTCTTAAACCATTCTGTCTGTACTTCAAGTCTAGAAAGCAGAAGGATTCAAACTGAGAATTTGGATATCTTAAAGAATCTTTAGGGAATTTAACACACAACATGAAACTGCAAAGAGTATACAGAAAATAAGTGGTTTTCAGCATTGTAGCTTTGCCTAAACTCTGCCCATTAGACTGAGGAAATACTATTCTTGTTGCATTCGCAGCTGGGTCTGGACAGTATCTTTTTCCCACTTGGAGGGGTTAATTAGTCGTCTTTCGGAAGGTGCCTGTTTAGCTTACATTCACGTCCTGCAACAATACAAAGCAATATCATTAACAGACGGGTGTGTCCAACTGCTTAATTAGACAGAATAAAAAGGACCTTGTCAAACGTTCATCTGTTTCTTGTGGTACACCTGACGGTCCAGTTAGGCAAGCATGACATCTTTTCTGCTGCAATGTGCAGTTCTTTTGCTTAGGTGCAGTGTCGGTGAAAAAATGGAGACTGCATTTATGTCATGGCGTCACCCCAGCCTACAACTAAGCCCCAGACAGCCGTTTGCTCACTCCTGCACTAGTAAGATTGGGATGAGAATTGGAAGGATAAAAGCCAGAAAACACATGGGTTGAGATAAAGACAGTTCAATAGGGACAGCAAAAGCTGCACACTCAAGCAAAGCAAAACAAGGAATTAATTCACTGCTTCCCATGGGCAGGCAGGTGTTGAGCCATCTCCAGAAGGGCAGGGCCCCATCCTGTGTAACAGTGACTTGGGAGGAGAAACGCCATCACTCCAAATATGCCCCCTTCCTCCTTCTTCCCTTCACTTTATGTACTGACCATGATACCATGTATTATGGAATATCCTGTTGGTCAGTTGGGGGACAAACACTTGTCCAGTCTATCTTCTCCCATCCTCCCATGCAGCCCAGCTTCCTTCCCACCATGGCAGTAGGGAAAGCAGGAAAGGCCTTGGCTCTGTGCAAGCACTGCTCAGCAATAATAAAAACATCTTTGTATTGTCAACCCTCTGTTATGCAGAAATCCAAAACACAACACCGTACAAGCCACTGTGAAGAAAACTATTTCTACCCCAGCCAAAACCAGCACAATTATAAAAATGTGTTTTTGTAATTTCTCAATATTGCTGTGATGTAAAAGAATCTGCATCACTAATGTGGTGCTAGAAAGACTTCCAGCGAATAGGAAGATATTTAAGGTTGACTGTATGGCATCTACATGGAAAAATCTATACTGTGTACCGAGCTATAATAAAGTTTTGTGTTTAGGATAGAGACTTAGACCAGAATAATGGAAGCAGTCTTTGGTTGGATGCCAGGTGCCCACCAAAGCTGCCCTATCACTCTCCTCCTCAGCTGGACTAAGGAGAGAAAATATAACCAAAAGCTCATTGGTCAAGAGAAGAACAGGAAGAGATGGCTCACCAATTACCATCACATGCAAAACTTGAGGAAAATTATTTGAATTTATTGCCGATCAAATCAGAGTAGGATAGTGAGAAGTAAACCAAAATCTTAAAAATACCTTCCCCTCACCCTGCACTTTATTCCTAATTCTCTACCTCCTCCCCTCTAGCAGTGCAGGGGGATTAGGAATGGGGATTAACATCAGTTCATCACACATTGTTTCTGCTGCTGTTCGTTCTCACGGGGACAACTTCTCACACTCTTCCCCTGCTCCGTTGTGGGGTCCCTCCCTCCCACAAGAGACAATCCTCATGAATTTCTCCATGTGTCCTTCCCATGGGCTACAGTTATTCCACAAACTGCTCCAGTGTGGGTCCCTTCAATGGTGTGCAGTCCTTCAGAAACTTCAGACTGCTCCAGTATGTGACCCCTCAAGTCACAAGTCCTGCCAGTAAACCTGCTCCAGCATGGGTTCCTCTCTCCATGGGTCTGTTAGGTCCTACCAGAACCCTGATCTAGGGCTTCTCATGGGATCATAGCATCCACCTACTCTTCTGTGAGATCCTCCACAGGCTGCAGGACCTCATGGACCTCTATGGTTGCAGGGGGACATCCTACCTCACCATGGACTTTGGGGGAATCTCTGCTTGGGCACCTGGAGCATATTCTGTGCCTCCTCCACTGATGTGTCTGCAGGGCTGTTTCTCTCACATCTTCTCCCTCCTTTCTTCTGTGACTGCAATTTGCTTCTGCCCCGTAACTTGTTTTTTCCCCTTCTTAAGCATGTTATACCAGAGGCACTACCACTGCCACTGATGGGCTCAGCCGTAGTCAGCAGTGATTCCATCTTGGATCCAGCTGGCACTGTCTTTGTCAGACATAGGTAGAGCTTCTGACAGCTGCTCAGAGGAGCCACCTGTGTAGTCCCCATTGTCTACACCCTAAACCTTGCCACACAAAGCCAGTACATCCATCCCTCCTCCCCTGCCTGTCCTTTCTGAACAGCCCGTTGCTATTGATGGCTGCACTTCAGTCATGGGGGTCATCTCACCAACTTTTAGTAATGGCAACTATGTCCTAGCTTTCTAGCAGCATGGAGGCTGTGCACATCCATTTTAATTATTATCATCTTTAACACGTAAATGTTATCTGTCAAGTTCTGTTCTGTCTTTTACTTTTGTATCCTGATTTTTGTCAGGTTTGGTGGGTCCTGAAGTGCTTCCACTGTGTAAAAATGTAGGGTTCAGTTGATATGAAACTCTTATAATGTGTTGATTAATCTGAAAAAGGTTTGATCAAGAATTTATCGGTCTTTCTGAATACTTCAGAAGAAGCAGTTAAATCTCTCAGGTATCCCATAGACCAAACCTGGAGTTTAAACCAAGAGTGGTCCCAGCTGGCAAGGTCCTGATCCTATCCCCTGACGCCATTCCATATTTAAATACCTGTTTCCTTCTTTGCACTGGATGCATTTCAATGCAAAGTGAATTAGAGGTAGTTGGATGAAGGAACTGCAGAAACCCAGCTTTAAATCAATTTAAACTGCTGTGGAACCTAGCTCTGAAAAGGGAGTCTGCTGTTGACAGCCAGTGTAATGGTATGTCCCTGAATTTTTTATTATGGTTTTGTCTCAATAAAATATTGTAGGGATTTTTGGGAGAGGTTGTTATTTGGTGGTGGTGGTAGGGACTAAAGTCTGGTCTCTTCTCTGCCAGCTACCTGGGTCTCATGAGTTAAACTAAAAAAAAAAAAAAATAAATCACATAGGTCATTCTAAATATTTATAGATTTTTTTTTTGCACATAAATCTCTTTTATTATGCATGATAATGCCAGTCATTTTTGTAGCTAATATAGATTAAGAGAGCTTAAGGACAGTAAAATTTTATATTACAGAACATTTGGTTTACAGTTTAGTGGTTGTGTTTGCTCACTGTGATTCTTCACAGATGTATACAGTCTTCTGTTTTTTAAGATACCAGGTGAAGAAGAACCTGCCTCATCTGGTTATTGTTTTCACTGGTTAATCATCCACTACTTAAGAGAAATAAAAAAAGAAGGGGAGAAAAAGGCTGATTCACAGTTTTGAATTTATTTTGGTTTGTCACCAGTCGACTGTGTTGTCATTTCTGCTCTGCAAAATTCTGGAATCTGCAGCTCTCAGTCTGTATTTCCTATGAGACCATGTCATCCTTCGTTGTCTTTCTGATAAGTTTTCTTTATCAGGCATTTTCCTTGAGTCTTGAACCAGTTCTGTGTTCTACCCAAATTTCCATTGTTCCCTTTAAATGTTAGGGTCATGATCATAGACCCTTGTCTACTGTGTATGTATTTCTCTATGATATGAGTGTCAAAAAGTTTCTTCTCAGATTTTAAGTACAATGGTTGCTTTAATGCTTTCTATTGGTTGTTTGAGTTCCTTTTTAACTATGACTTATTAAATGCTTTTCAGAGTTTGCTTTCTAGATTAGACCCCTTCATTCTGTGGCCTCTTTGAAGTTTGGCTTTGAATTTGAATCTGTAGAGATTTTAGTGTACTTCAGTAAGCCAGATTAAAAGTGATTTTGAATGATGACCAATTATTTTCAAGCTGAGATAAGATTTGCTGCTGATTTTTCTGAGTTATTCTTAAAGTGATGAAACTCAGATTAGTGGTATATGTTTCTTCATACTTAAACAAAGGATATGAATGTAAGTTAGGTAAAAGTAATATAAAAACCCTTTTATACTAACTCATATGCTAGTAGGTGAAAAAAACTTTTGGCTCATACCAAGATTGGTGTTAGATAATTTTAAAATCCAGATAGAGATAAGGGACAAATTAGAGTGCTAATATAAGTGCCAAAATAAAAACATCATTGTACTAACATTTTAATTTTATGTCTTAATTTTATTCAGAGATCACAATGCAGACATCGGAGACTGGGGCGGATACAAGTTCGACTGTGACTTTACAGACATCTGTGGCTGGCCAGGCAGCAGTGCCCACACAGGTAGTACAGCAAGTACCAGTTCAGCAGCAGGTACGTGGCTGTTAGTTGTGGGAAGATTAAAAAACAAAAATTCAGAATGATAGTTCTTTACAAGGTAGTGAAGAACTTGTTTTTATACAAGACTTGCTAAATGAACTCTTGCTCTGCTCTTATGGATTTTGTTTTGCTGAAATTAAAATAGCCAGAGAAAGGCAAGCTATTTTCAGGATCTGTTCTTTAACTAGAGCACCTGACAAGCTCTGGTAGTACACATACATGATTCCAACAGTAGTTTGTTATGGACTTCATGCAGTAGAAATAGAAATTTACTGTATGTTACTGAATATTTACATTTTTTTCTTTAAATAATGGATATGTGTCTGATATTATTGACTGTATCATTTCTCCATCCATTTGGATGTCCAAGTAAGTGCAATACAAAAGTAAAAATGGAAAGCATTGTCCTTTTCATCTCTAGGCTTGACTCCCCACAGGTCTATGCATAGTGTCATGAAAATATTGGTGGTAGGACAACTGGTAATTCATAATGTGCATTTGCCAGGGAAGGAAGAATACTTTTGTAGCAGCCAGCACAGTGCAGTCTTCTGTTACATGAAATTGTCACTCCTACGGAGCACCCATGAGCTTTGGAAGGAGTGGTGGCAGAAGAAAATGGGGAGCTAAAAAGGAAAGGTATGAAGGTACAGAATGGGGACTCAGTGTGAAAGCCATTATGGCTGTCCAGGACTTTTCCAGAATACACAGAAATTAGCTGTTCATGTGATGGGTACTCTGGGTGACATCTGTTGTTGTTTTTCATCAAAAACTGAGTTTACAGTTTCAGAATCAACCATATAAGAACTAGAGGTAAATTATTAAATACTGACATTTGTTTCTGTGCCAGTGGAACACTTTTCTCTAAATCAAATTTTTCAGCATTTTTGGAGTTCTCAAATTCCAGTGCATTTTCAGGTATGTGTTCCAGAGTCTCAAACATTTCACTAATACTCTATTCCTGATACAGAGCCTCAGTTTCTAATGCCTCATAGTTCCATTACTATAGGATGAACTTAGCTAACCTTTGTAGGAGATTTTTGTCTGTAACCCTTTTGTAAGGTTTGTGTAGTGCAGCACATTTTCCTTTGTGAAATACAATCTGGATGATTTGTTTGGGTTTTATTTTCTAAATTATAACAGTTGTTATTATATGATGTCTATATGATAACAGATGTTTAGTAGATGTAGTTTATATGACTTGTTCTTATTCAGCTTTTCAGATATAAGATGGCAATTTGGTAGTGCTTGTTTTCAGCATGTAAGATTTACATACAATGGCTCAATGTTACATACTGAACTTGTGAAGTACTGATCAATGTGAGAGATTGAAGAGGGGTAACCAGTTAGTGACATATACATATAGGATACTTTATAATGTTGCAGTTCTAATAGTTGTCTTAATTGAACTCTAAGGACAAATTCTATGCATTTTTGTTACAGCAGAATGAAAAACGAGCAGGACTTTGGTTTGTTAAATTTGCTTGTGCAAAGTTTCTACCTTTTTGAAAACTTCTAGGATAGAATGGGATCCTTATTTGTTGACTGGAGATGCTCACTGTGAGGGGACCTCAGGCCCAGCAGTTAAAGTCTTCGGTGTTGAGAGTGTGACTGCCAGAGAGTCTTGTGAATGGTCAGACTGGGAACTTTCCTTAACATATTTTCCCACGTAAATAATGCATTAATCTTTGTCACCAACTGTCTATATCTTTCCTGAAGTTATTCCAGTTTTCCCTTAATAATGTAACACTCATGTCAAAGCATAGAAGCCTAGGAGCAGATTGGGGTTTTCCTTCTTTGATTATACTTTAATTAGAACAGCAAACAGAATTTTTTGTTGTGCTACCTGAGTATGTAAAGCTGTCCCTGATCAACTTTACATGCATCTCCTTTAGTACTCCTAATTCTGGGTATTCCCTTGCATTGAATACATCATAGTTATATTGGATTATTTTTTCCTTTGGGGATATCAAATTATGTTTTTCTGGTTGATTTTTAACACTGACTGTATCATCAACATAATGTTTCAGAAAGGAAAGCTAAAGGGTGAGGGTTTGAAGGTGCAGCAAGAATGCTTGGAAATCCAGTGCAAATGGCATTGCAGTGATTAAATGTATGTATGGGAGATTTGTATAGAGAGATCTAATCCTACTATGGAAGAGAATGAGTAGTGAGGAAAAAAAAGCGTAAAAATGTGAATATAGTATGCCAGCAAGAAATGTGATAAAGATCGTAGGTGTGATAGATATTTTCAATTGTAGGGTTGCAGGTGTGATTTGTCCTTAAAAATTATGTGTGTATAGGTCGCATTTGCCCTAGGTTAATACTGTCTCTATGTAGATTTGGTAGGAATGGGCCAGTTTGTCTAAAGAAAATGTGGAGAAAGAGGGCTATTTTAATAAAGCCATTCTTTTGATGGCACAGGGAGGGCTTATTTTTTGCACATTTAAAGTTACTAGTGTTGAAAGCTGGAGAGAAGGTTTTAGGCGCATAGTCGATAAGATGAGGTTTTGTTTTTTCCATGGTTTAGAAGGAACAGTTTAATAGTGTGAGCTGTATCCAAATTATGTAGGAATATTCACATTTGGATTATATTATGTTCTGAATATAAATTGCTAAAAACAATGAGACACTTCTAGGATTTTTTTAAAGGATACTGTAACATGACTGTGTATATGCAACATTCAGTGCAAACTGAAACTTCTGTATTGTCATTTGCATTAATTTATTAGTACTTTCTAGTGAATAGTGCAATTTTAGATGAATTTGCTTTTACTTAATATTAAAGCAGTGTATAGCATTTCGTTTTTCCTAGGGAGGTCTTTGTTTCCCATGTTTCTATTCCTGTATATACACTGTGTTTAAATGACATCTCCTAAATGCATTAATTTGGGGTTGTTTTCATGCCGTCATTTCATGCACACAAAATATGTATCTTTTTTAAAATGAAAGATTTTTGCTCTGAGGAAGAGCAAGCTGAGTAAGTGGAAGGGTAGACTAAGAGCCTTTTCCGTTCAGCCGTGTTTATACTGAAGCATTCTGTCTTTTGAGGAAACGACAAAAGAGTAACTTTTAATATTTTCACCTAAACCAAATCCCTAATTTCCATATAGCTGGTATGAATACAGGGCTTGTAGAAGTCTGCTTGTGATGCTCCAAAAATAGGAACAAAAGAGGTACCATTAATGAAAACCTGGATTCTTTCTCTTTCAAAAGTGGCACCAGTGGCAGCTGGTTTCATACAACACAGCAGCAGTCAGTCTGAGATGGATAGAGAGGAATGGTAAGCAAAAAGCAGTAAGGTCTTACAACAGTAAGACCAAAAATGTGTGTGTGTAATTAAATTCTGTTTAAATAGCCTGAGGAATTTTCCTACTCTTGTTTCCTCAAATACAGAGATTTTTAATTAATGCATCATTACTTTTTCAACAGAAACTATTCAGAATAGTGCAGTAAGCTTCTACGGATTCAAAATTAAACTCACTTCATAGCTTATGCTGTGCAATATGGAAGGACTGGAGAAATAAAACTAAAAATAGTCATATAAGCTATTTTATTAAAGTATATCCACACATCAGAGGTTGGGAAAATCGTTTGTTCATAGTCACATACACAGTGGCAATCGCGTTCTCAAAGCATTGTGTCAATAACTAGAGATGCAGACCTCTGCTAATCAAAATTGTTCTTAATGCAGAATCATGTTTAGCAAATGAAAAGCATAATCATGAACTGACATTAGCCATTATATAAATATGAATGTGCTTAGAATGCTACAGAATGTGGTATTTGTATGTTACTTGCCAAAAGTAGTCCATACTAATGAAGGACAAAAACTATTTTTATCTCAGGGGACAGAAAGTGTTGAACAACCAAGCTGTTTACATAGACTTGGTAGATAATTTTATGTACTTTCTAAAATGTAATGTAAAAATCCTTTTATACATATATACATTTTGCTCTATTGTGCTACTCTTTGCTTAGTACATATGCACTTTTTCTTGGAAGTCAAAGTTTGCTCTTATATTTTGTTTTATTCTTCCATGTAATTTCTACATTTCAGTATGAGAAACTTTCATAGGCAAAATATAACTTTTTTTATAGATAAAACATAACTTAATTTGTTCGTCCGAGGTAGTATAATGAAGAATATAATTTACTTTGATTTTTGTAAAAATCGGTCAAAAATTTGAAATGAAGCCATGAAAACTGTAATTTTATCAAGTTTTGATATTTTATTTTATGGTAAAATAAATTTTTGTTGTTGTTATTCCAAGTCAGAAGATAAACACATTTTGGAATTTTTCAGTTCCCTGTCCAGTAGGCACTGAGCTTTGATGCACTCCATACAGTTTGTCTCTGAAGTATCACCTTAGTTCTGTGCTGAATATGATGTTTTTGAAATGGTAGCAGATATATCCAAGAATAATGGGAGAATATAGTAACTTGTATGGAAGGGGAATGTGTTTCAGTGCTGTGTTTGTACGTAATGTAGAGTTCCATTTTATCAATATACAGTTTCTGTCTCATTGCTGCTAATGGGCAGAAGAAATGTGATTTTTCATCATGCTAGTATGCATTCAAAACTTCAGCTGTTTTTTTTTATTTCAGAATTTGGTGTTTAATGTCAACCTAAGGGAAGGTTTCTGTGAAAATCAAGGTTTTTTGTTTCACAATCAGAGTCAATATTATAAATTAGGAAAAATGTGCTTATTTACAGAATTTTTTAAAATACAGCAGAGGAGAAGGTATTAGACTAGGATATTCTCAAAGAGCTCATGGAGGTGATTTATCAAATGCAAAACCAAGACTTATTGGGGGTTATGGTGTTTGCAGTCCTTAGCACCAACTGGATTAGGCTGAAGTTGCCTTGTAACAATAAATCTGAGAAAAATTACAGTCACTTACTGTTATATCCGTTTACTAAATAAGTGCATTGTCACTTTCTGGATTTGATTCCATGGGTAAAATTGTGTCAGTCTGTGAAATCTCTTAAATCCTTTTGCATATTTTAGATTCTGGACTGCTCTTGGACCAAAATATGGCTTCTCTGAATGATGGCAGGTGTAAAATATGGAATTCTTCATCTTTACTGTGGCAGAAGACAAAAAATTAAAACTGGAGAGGAAATTTGGTGAAGCTTTCCTAAATAGTATATGAATCAAAGGAATTGATGTGCGACTATCACCAGCAATATGAGTGAAGAGAATCCATGCCTTACTGCCTCTTGTTGTTTAGATCATTGATGCAAAACCAGGTTTTGTCAGAGTTTGTTATAGCTGATTATATTCCAGGAAAGGGGTTACTCACACTATGGGATTTGTTCCATAATTGTACAGTGGTTCAAAGCACTACTGGGAAAAAAACTTGCATCACTGTAATTTAACTCATTAAACAAGAGCTAAAGTGTCTTAATGTGAACTTTTGTTTCTAAACTTACTGCAGCACATTTGAGCTATGATTTTAAGGCTTGTGTTACTTAGGACTGAAATGGAATAAGAAAAAGAATAAATATGATCAAATTATTCTTTCTTCTGTAGTTAATGTGATTCTTCAGCTTGGTACCAAGCAGTGTTACACTTCATTTCATCTTTATGTTCTCTGATTAGTTATGTCTTTGGCACCGAAGATATGTATGCTCACTGAAAGTGCATCTTCAAAGTTAGGGCTCCATTTACCAAACTTACAGCACAATTATTGTATAGAAACAGTAATTTTCTTTGCTAGCACTTTGATATACCTTCAGTAATTATGACAGCAGAGATATCACATATTGTTTAGAAGCTGTTTAGAACCAAACTTCTGGTTTTCTTGTTTTCAGGTACAGCAAGTGCAGACTGTGCAACAGGTACAGCATGTATACCCAGCCCAGGTTCAGTATGTGGAGGGAAGTGACACAGTCTACACTAATGGAGCTATGTAAGTTGGCAAATGTTCAGAATTTGAATGATAATTAAAATGTGAAGTTAAATACATATTTTTGGGCAATTTCTGTCAACTAATGTATGTTGAATTGGAAAGAAAAATTATTCAATCAGAGTTCTCCTAGTGTCATAGTAGTTTGTTGGATGAAAATATGAATTCACACTGATTTTATTAAGGCACAAGTTTTGTATAAATAGACTTCTTGGGATTGTTTTAGTTGCACTTACCTGGAATTACCTGTACAGCATAGTGTTGTTTGTAAAAGTATCTAGTTCATGGGTAACTTCTGTCCTCAGGACAGAAGGCAGGGCCTTCTGTCTTCCTGGCTGCAATCCTGGTGGCAAATGATGTAAAGGTGCAGCAGTGGTGGTTATTATCTAAAGAAAGTGGTAATGTAATTTCATTCCTGTGTTTCATAAAATGAGATCAGTACTTTTTCCCAAAGGAATGAGGAGAAGCAGAGGAAGGTGCTTCTTTAACCTCTTTTCTGCACAAATGTGCGTTTCCTGCTTCCCCAAACATGCTTTTCTATCATCTAGTTTCTTCTCTAATACACGAGCTTAGAAAGATAGAAAAAGTAATCTAGATTTTATGTGATCTCTGGATGTTACCTAGTCTAATCTCTGACTTGGAGCAGCACCAGTTTTGAAGTTGGCTTAAACTTCAAAGTAGGTGTGTGTTGCTTAGGAAGGAGCCTCTCTACCTCAATTTGCATTTACCATTTTTGCTGTTTAACTGGCTTTAAAAGAAGTACAATTTAGAAAGCTTTTTTTTTTTTTTTTTTGTCTGAAGGTATTATTATTTTTTGATGGTAATCCAAAAGTGGTCCAAAAGAGCAGTATTATCTGGTTCAGAGATTTATGATGTTGACACGGACAGCATTCTTTGGTTGTTTCTACTACCTCATTTCAGTGAATTGATTTTTCATGTACTGTCTTGTCCATTTTCTTCTCACTTGTAAATTCTAAACAAGATATTTTAAGTATGCATCAGATTTCCCTATTGTACTGGTTTTGTCCGGGATAGATGAATTTTCTTCATTGTAGATAGTATAGGGCTGTGTTTCGGTCTTGTGCTACAAACATCATTGATACTATCTACTGTGAAGAAAGTATTGTACCCCAGCCATAACCAGCACGCCTGTACAGCAGCACTCAGTGCCATCATAACTTCATTGCGACCATGATAGTCTACTGTTAGCCTCCAAAAGAGGGCATTCTTAAATAACTTTTTTATTGAGCTTCTCTTTTCACGTATTACTTTAAATTCTTCTTTGTACTATTTGCGCTTTTGGAAGTGTATAGAAAGTGTACTACATTACTGATTGCAGTCCTAGGGAAAAACAGAAGCAGATGTAACTAATGCTTTTTGTGAATCTTCAGGTTTCCATTATTTTATAGTGTTTCTGGGTCTGAATCAGTCAGTGGGATATAAGAGCAGAAAGCTCTCCTTAGCATGTGAGCCTAATCTAGATTTGGCCACAAAGATGACCAGAGGCTGGAGCACTTCTCCTATGAAGACAGGCTGAGAGACTTCATTGTGACATTCCAATACTTAAAAGGGAGCTTACAAGAAGGAGAGGGACTTCCTATATGGGCAGATAGTGATAGGACAAGGGGGAACAGTTTTAAACTAATAGAGGAGAGATCTAGATTAGATTAGATCAGGTATGAGGGAGAAATTCTTTGCTCAGTGGGTGGTGAGGCGCAGGAATGGGTTGTTCAGAGAAGCTGTGATGCCCTATCCCCAGAAATGTTTGAGGCTGGGTTGGACAGGGCTTTGAGCAACCTGGTCTAGTGGAAGGTGTCCCTGACTGTGGCATGGGGGCTGGACTAGATGATCTTTAAGGTCCCTTCCAACCCAAACCATTCTATGATTTTATGAAAGAATTATCCTTTATTTTAGAATAATTCACTCAAAATCCATATGCAATAGCAACAAAGGATACCATTAGAATATCTGTGAAGAAAAAGTTACCCAATTCTTTCCATTATAAAAGTAAGAATTTTGTCAGGTTTTAGAGTCTTAGTCATTTGTAACTGTTGTATTCATATAATACATTATTCTTACAACAGTTCTTCCCACGCATTTTGTATCATGCCTACACTTAAAAGTTATTTGGTTTTATTATAGTTGGAGGCAATATGATAATACAAGGAGTGTAACACTCAACTTGTCATATACATTGTATGATATGAAAATATTTGAACCATGTAATCTACATTTGTCTCTAGTTAACAACAGTTTTGCTTGTCAAGCATGTCACTCTATCATGAAACAAAAATGCATTATTGACATTGATGACATGTTCAGGCTTACCTGGTTGTTTAGAATATATTAAGACTGTTATGGCTGCACCTAGAGTAAGAAGCCAGTTGGTTCCACATATTATACATAAACTTTCTTCCTACATAGATTGTGATATGTAGGCATATACATTCTAATTCTGATGTGACAAAGAGGATTTCGATTGCTGGGATTTTCGAAGAATTGCAATTGCATCCAAACCTCATTCTTTACAAATTTGTTGTACAACAGTTTATGTGGTTTATATTGGCGAAACACACTGTGTATGCATGCCCAAGAATGTATTATTACTTGTATTAGGTTTCTGTTGCCAGGTTTTTGGTAGCGAGGCAAGGGCTACAGGGATGACTTCTGTTAGCAGCTGCTAGGAGCTTCGCTTGCATCTGGTGTAGCCAATGCCAGCCAGCTCCAGGACGGGCTTTCTGCCACTGGCCAAGGCCAAGCCCGTCAGGAGTGATAGTAATGGCTCTGTGATAACGTATTTAGAAATGGAAAGAAAGTTACTGCACAGTTGAAAATTGCATCAAGGGAAGAGCGCAGTGAGAACATGTGAACAGCAATGCAGACACCAGAGTCAGTGCAGAAGGAGGGAGGGGAGGTGCAGCCCATGGTGCAGACCATGGTGGAGCAGCTGTGCTCCTGCAGTCCATGGAGGACCATCGGGGTGCAGAGACCCCCCTGCAGCCTGTGGAGGAGATCCACACCAGAGTAGGTGGATGCATGAAGGAGGCTGACCCATGGAAGGCCCAGAATGGAGCAGAGTCCTGGCAGGGACCTGCAACCGTAGAGAGACGAGTACACGCAGGAGCAGGTTTTTCCCTTATAGGACTTCTCTGTGGGGGACCGACATCAGTACAGCTCATCTGTGAAGGACTGCACCCCATGGAGGAGTGACCCACGTTGCAGTAGTTTTGTGAAGAATTGTTACCTGTGGGATGGACTTACACTGGAGAGGCTTGTGAAGGACTGTCTCCCATGAGAGGGACCCCATGGGAAGCAGGGGAAGAACTCCTCTCTCTAAGCAATGACAGAAACAACTCATCATGGCCTCCGTTCTCTGTCTCCCTGTACTGCTGCAGGAAGGAGGTAGAACTTGAAAGGATGAAGGGATGGGGGGATGGTATTTTTAAGATTATATTGCTTCTCACTCTTTTGCTCTGAACCTTTTAGTAATCAAATTAATTATTATCCCCACTTTGAGTCTGTTTTGCCTGCAATGGGGATCTGTAACTGACCTCTCCCAGCTCTTATCTCTGCTCATGAATCCTTCGTTTTGTTTTTTTTTTTTCTTTCTTCTGTCCAGTTGCAGAGGGGAGTGAGAGAGAGAGGCTTTAGAGGGTACCTGGCGTCCAGCCAGGGTCAACCCACCACAGTACTATTAATTGAAATCTGAACTGTCAAAAAAATTATTATTAATACAGTTAAGGTTGTTATTTTCCTACTACTTAATAGGATCTATCCATTTTTCTCTGGCATTCACTGTACCCTTTTACTACCCTTCTGCATACTCAGGTGAATGGCTTCTGTCTGAGAAAGAGTCACAGAGAGTTGCATCAATTTAGCACTATCACAAGTGTTATGTCTGGACAAGTATGATGAGTAGTGGGGGTCTCTATTCACTCTGTATCTACTTGCAGCCATTTTTAATGTGTTCTAACATAGTCTACACCTTATTCATCTTCATTGCTTTGCATGTCCTTATTACATCTGAATGTGCTTTACATGTTTTACATTTGCTGGATACTTCTTGAATGTGTTATGCCATGATCCTCTTACTGTATTTTTAATCTGGGGTCATGGATTGTTTATTCTATACAGAACAGCTATTTGCTGTTACTCCGTTAGATAAAACAGTGAATGACCATTTTGATTATAGGTTTTATACCACACAATCTTAGAAAGCTAAGCTAAATTGGAAGCGGATTAAGTAACAGTTATCTGATTGTTTGACAATTACTGCAAGAACAATGCTCTAGGCTAGCACAGACAAGTCTAAACAAAGGAAACTTGACAAACCCAACTCTTGAGGTCTTGCAAATTTAGTACCAGCCCTGTGACATGTTCCTAACAGTGCTATATTTCTTCAACTATAAGTCTGCAGTAATTAATCAGTAGTTTTAGAAATCTGAAAATTAAGGTTTTCTTACCTGTCTAACTTACAGGTCCTCAGAAAAGAGTACATAGAATTGTATTCATCCCTCTCTTTTCATATATTATGGTCCCTGGTTTGTGGAGTTTTCTGTAGCTGTGCATTGTATGTGCTTTTACTGCTTTGTTTCCATGTGGGAAATGATCTTGGACTGAGTGTTGAAGATCTCAGTTCTTTTTTATGGCTAATAAATGCCTCTAAGTGGCATATTTACTTTGGGTTTTATATGCAATATTGAAACTCTGTTTTAGCTAAATTTTATAAAGCTTTTTCTGAATGATACATTTTAAATTGCCCATATAGAGAAAATGTATATGAATAAAGCAGGTCAACCATTCACTATTACAGAGGAAATCACTTATTTTGAGTTTTCATTCTCTTGTTATTGATGCACTAATTGCCCTTTCATAGTCTTGATATTTGTGTTTAGCAGTTTTACTTGATAAAGGGGAAGGGTGATAGAAAATAATAATTTCCTGTCTTAACAGTTTAGATCAACTGGGAAGACCTTTGTGGAAGAAGCTTATTGCTCCATTGG